CCCAGAAGTAAAGAGCCCTGCCCTCCCACACATCCCGAAGGGAGTGGGAAAGTCTACTCAGAGCAGACTTGTCTTTGTGCAAAGTTGCCTCGGAGGCAAGCAGGTCCCCTGGGGTCTACATAGCCCAACCGCTTTTCTTGAGGGATGTTTAGAAACAGGTTTTAGCAGCTTTCAAGGATCCCTAGCAGAGCATTTTTAGATGCCTCTGGTCTTTCAAGTGTTAAAACAAAACAAAGAAACCTTTGGGCTGGCCACTGGTGGCTTACTGTGTAACCCTAGCACGAAGGAGGCTGAAATTGGAGGATCAAGACTCCTTTGAGCCAGCAGCTGAGACAGACAAATCCAAGAGATTCCAATTCATCAGCAAAAAGCCACAGTGGAGGTGTGGCTCAAATGGTAGAATGACAGCCTTGAATGAAAAAGCTAAAGGACAGGCCCTGAGTTCAAGTTCAAGTCCAGTATCGGCAAAAAGAAAGGAAAGAAAGAGAGAGGAAGGGAGGGAGGGAGGGAAAGAAAGGAAGGAAGGAAGGAAGGAAGGAAGGAAGAAAGAAAGAAAGAAAGAAAGAAAGAAAGAAAGAAAGAAAGAAAGAAAGAAAAGAAAAGCTCTGGAAGGAAGCCAGCTCTGGGACCAGGGCTCTGGAACAACCTTGAAAACAGGTCACCTGCTAAAACCACCTGTGGGCCTTCCTAGATATGAAATGAGTGAGACCCAGAGGGCTTTGGACATCTTCCTCTGAGGTCCTAGTGGGGCGGGTGGGGGGGGGGAGAAAGGGAGTGGATGTTGAGGCTGAACTGCCCACTCTTGGGCCTCGGTGGGGAGTGGAGGGGGCTCTTCCCTGATTCCCAGAGGCAGTTGGGAGCCAGAGAAGGCCCTGCAGGGCTAGGATCCTGCCTGCCCCGCCCCCACCAGCCCATGGGTCATCTGACTGTCAGAGGGTGCAGGTTTGGCAGCTGAGCCTGAGGTGTCCAGGTGCGTGTGAAAGCCTTGGAATTTTACAGCCACTTTTACTCCTGCGTAACATCACTCCAGGAGTGTGGCAATACTGCAGCAGGCAATTTAATTTTGAGGTTTGAAGCCCTCGAGAGACATTGAGACACAGAAGAACTTGCTGCAAGATGAGAGATGTGATAGAAATGCACTGGGAGCAGCAGCAGGGAGTGTTTGCCGCTGGGAGGAAGTCTTTCTAGAAACCTCATTCCCATGTGTCTTCCATAAGGACACACACACACACACACACACACACACACACACACACACACACACGAAATCACTGAAAATGTCTTGGACCTAGGTGGGGATGGACCTGCTCCTCCAAGGGTTTGGGTGCAGGCAGCAGATGGCCTTATGCAGCAGAAGGAGGTGCCAGGGCTAGAAGAGAGGCCTCTGGCCAGTGACCCCCAGGGTGACCCACAGTCCACCTGACCATGCCAGGACAGCTCCCACCAGGTATAATCCCTAGGTCTAGCTTCAGAGTGGCAGGTCTGCGGTGGTCACCCAGGAGCTCAGCATTTTATTTCTTTTTGATTAATTAATTTTATTTACTTGTTTAATGTTGTACCAAGGAATCGAGCCCAGGGCCTCATGCATGCTAGGCAAGCACTCTACCACTAAGCCACATTCCTAGCCTGAGCCCAGCATTTTAAGCAGGATCCCTGGGTGACTCTGAAAGCGCCCCTCAAATGCTTAGAGAAGAAAAGAAGCAACAGAGGAAGGAATAGAATAAGACAGGCTGCCAAGCCACACCTCCCCTTGGTTTGGTGTCACTTGTAAGTTGTGTGCCTTCCATACAAGAGACCTCACCCCTCTGGGCCCTGTCTTCTCCTGTCCAGTGGTTAAAGGATGGTCCCGCAACAGGGTGTGGCGGGGTGAGGGGGAGAAGTACCTGCACTGCACTCAGCAGGGGGACTCCAGCGTGCTCCTGCACTGCGGTAGGGAGCAGAAGCTGGAGAGCTGAACACCATGCAGGCACATGGGGTTCTCTGCTAGGCAATGTCTCCTGTGTGAGGCACAGAGCTTGCTGGGGACAGGGCACAGGGAGCCCAGAAAAACTGCAGGTGACATGGAGATGAGGAATTCCAGAAAACACCTCATTCCCGGCCTCATCCAGCACAGCATCTTTCTGGCCCCACTGACAGAGGCTGCCAAGCTCGAAACCTCTTATGAAAACCATCTCAAGGTTAGCTGTGCCCCAAAAGGATACTTTTAAAACCCTGGTTCAAGAAGCAGGTCTTTCCCACTTCTCATCTGCCCAGCCTTCCAAAAGGCTGAAAGAAGCACTCTAAAAAGAGCCAGAACCAAAACTTACTTTAGGCTATGTAAAGGCAAATTGAGTCAGGACCAGCCTGTTCCCAAAGGTCCAGGAGGAGCCAAACTCAGGCACACACAATGACCAGGAAGCCCCTCTACTCATGTGTGTCCCCGGGTTACTCTAATCTGAGCTATTTTAGGCAGACAGGGAGGCCAAACCTGCAGGTCCAACTCCAAGGACCTGTCAGCCGCCTCTGGCACATGCAAGGAATTTCCCTCTCCCAAGATTAGGAGCTGCTGCTTCCTGCTCATCATCACCCAGCAAGACAGGGCAGAATTCCTCAAAACCAACAGGAAGCTCCCACAGGGCAGGGTCAGGGACTGTTGACCTTGTTCCAATAAACAGAAGTGTGGACAGCTTCACACACCAGGCACTTCCTGTCTTCCTCTGCTGCTGTGAATGCCCAGAAACCACCAAGAAAACCCAGCACAGCCAGCAGAGGGTTGAGAAAGAATCGGTCACACCAGATCTGTCTCTAGCCCAGGAAAGGGGTCCAGGGAAACCATTCCATGAAGCAAAAACGAGCACAAATTGGCAGCTCAAACACAACCTGATTTGCATGAACATCAATGCACTGTAGTTAATAAGAAATGGAGGAAGGGGTGCGCCCACCTCTCATACCCCCATTCTCATCTTTGAAGATGAGGACCAGGGGAGACATTACCTTTCTGGACATTAAGAAACCAACATGGGGCTAGGAATGTGGCTCAGTGGTAGAGTGCTTGCCTAGCATGCATGAAGCCCTGGGTTCTATTCCTCAGTACCACATAAACAGAAAAAAGCCAGAAGTGGCACTTTGGTTCAAGTAGTAGAATGCTAGCCTTGAGCACAGAGAGGCTCAAGGACAGTGCCCAGGCCCTGAATTCAAGCTCCAGAACTGGCAAAAAAAAAAAAAGAATCCAAAGGGGCCAGGCACTAGAGGCTCAATCCTATAATCATAGAAGGCTGAGATCTAAGGATCATGGTTCAAAGCCAGCCTGGGCAGGAAAGTCTGTGAGACTCTTACCTCTAATTAACAACCAGAAAACTGGAAGTGGAGCTGTGGCTCAAAGTGGAAAAGTTCTAGTCTTGAGCAAAAGAGATCAGGTACAGGGCTCAGGCCCTGAATTCAAGTCCCATGACCTACCAAAAAAAACCAAAAAAACAAAAACAAAAAAGAAAAACAAGATATATGTCCAGACTGGGGAGGCACCTGTCTTTTTCAGGAAGGAATGAGTGGAGAGGTACAGGCTAACAGTTCTGGCAAGAACAAAGGACTGGGCCCAACATTGCAGGATCCTAATTCAAGTTGGCAACTTTGCCTTCCTTTCTGAAGGGTTTAGGTGGACAGTCTCCTTACTATGAGCCTCAGTCTCTACCTCTGCCCCCTGCCTAAGCAGTGACAAGGGATCAGACATACAGATGTGTTTTGCAAATGACACCAGCAAAGTGCATCCAGGCCAGCTCTGGGCAGGGGGCACTTTCTCAGGTATCTTTTCCATGTCAATGTCTTTAGCCCTCAAAACCTGCTGAAGGGGCTGGGACGGTGGCTCAGTGGTAGAGCGCTTGCCTTGCATGCATGAGGCCCTGGGTTCAATTCCTCAGCACCACATAAGCAAAAAGAAAAAAGCCAGAAGTGGCGCTGTGGCTCAAGTGGTAGAGCGCTAGCCTTGAGCTGAAGAGCTGAGGGACAGTGCCCAGGACCAGAGTTCAGGCCCCAAAAAACAAAACAAAACAAATAAACCTGCTGAAGGGGGTGGGGGATGGGGAGATGGAAAGGGGAAACAATGGAGGAGGCAGCAATGCTTGATAAGAAATGTACTCGTTATCTTGCCCATGTAATTGTATCCCCTCTGTACAGTATTCTTATTTTCACAATTAAAAAAAAAAACTGCTGAAGGGAAGTAGAGTACCCCACTTCTACCCCCACCCCTGGCTCCTTTCTTGTTTTTGTGGCACTAGGGACCAAAACCCAGGGCCTATGCTACAAATGTTTTATGAGTGCTCTGTCACAGAGCTACCTCCTCATGGCAACCCTAGGGATTGTACCCAGGGCTTACCCATGGAACACCAGGCAAGTGTTCTGCAATATTTGGCTTCAGCCTCCTGAGTGCCAGGATTATAGGCATGTGCTACCACACCCAGTTTCAGTTCTCTCCTTTTAAAGATGAGGAATCTGAGGCTCATACAGGTTCAGTGACTAGGCATAGCCACCCAACAAGCACCTGGCAGTTGAGTCTAACATCAGTGTATCTCCTACCCTGGGAACCTTTTTCTAAAGTTCAAGAAATGCTGCCACGATATCTCCTGTTATCAAGTGCAAGGAAACATGCCTTACTAGCTCCCTCTCTCACTCAGCGTGATGCATTCAAGGCTCTGAGAAGTCCTGCATGAGCTTGTTTCCCAGAACTATCTAACCACTGGGACTAAAGAACCTGTGTCCCACAGAACACACCTTGGGAAATATGTCATGAGGCAACATTTTTAGCAACCCACACTGATAAGATTGGGGGGGGGGAAGGGGGAAAAACAGAGGTTCAGTGCAGTAACACTGAATTCAAAGAACACAGCAAGCAGATATCACTCAGCTGCCCACTCTGTCCCAGGTCCCCTGGGCCTACAGTAAGGAAGCAAAAGACTGTGGGAATGGAACTGCCAGTCTTTGCTCGCTGCCAGAGGGAAGCAGCTGAGCGAGGCTGGTGTGGGCCTTACCCCGAGGCGGCTCTGCTATCTGTGTGTTGGCTGTGGATGCTGAGGCTGGCCCCAGTCGGAGTGCCCACGGTCCCGGCATTCCTTTTGCTCCATGGACGCTGCCACCCTAGGAGGAAGTAAGAGCTGCCGTCAGCATGCACGTGTGTGCCTCTCGGGGATATCAGTGCACTGCCAGCATTTATGGAGAGCCTGGTGGTGCCAGGGGCCCAGGCTGGCTTGAACAAGGTACCTCCCAGGCAGACCCTGGTATCTCGATGAATCCCCAAGACAGGGCCAAGGAGTGGGATCCAGAACCAGCACTAGACTACCCAGAGCAGAGGGGTGAGCAGAGGCTTCCTGGGAAAAGAGGTGCCTGGTGACTCCGGGGACAGGAGCATGGCTCAGCGACTGGGGAAGGTCATAGTGGTAGGAAGGAGTTAGCCAGAAAGTGGGGCACAGTCAACAGAGCCCAATAGATGGGGGTCCCTTACAGAAAGGTTGGGAGGTTTTCATTATTCACACCACAGAACATTTATGACACCTGCATAGCACCAGGTCCTGTGCTGGGAGGTCAGAGGCAGAAGCTGGGCTCCACAGGCAGCCAGCCCACAGGTGACCGTAGCCAGGCAGTAAAGCACTTTGAGCTGGCAAAGTTCAGAGGTCATTCAGGCCATCTGTGCCCCACCCACCTCCTTAGTAAGCAGAGACATCCCTGAGGCTGGACAACAGGGCAGTCACTTGTCTGTGACAGAGCTGGGACTACCACTGGACTCAGATAGTGTCTCTCTTCTGGAACATTCCTGAGTGCCCCTGCATATTCACCCCAAGCTAGCCCCTCCCCACCCTAGGCTGCCACGCTACCATTTCTGTCATCACTGAGGCTGTCTGGCAGTCAGCTTATGGGTCTTGCTATCCTTCTCCCGACTGAAGCTCTGAGGAGCCAGAGACCACCAGTCTTAGTCCAGGGCAGGCAAGTATTACAGGATAGTTGAGAGGTAAGGAGGGAACTCTACAGTCCCACACCTATCCCACCTAAGTCCCATGAGGTCTGCCCACCAGTACCCCCACGTCAAAGACTGCACTCTGAGGAGAGGGATTCAAGAACAGACTAATTCCTTCTTTCTGGGAGAAGTTTAAGACCTGTCGGGCAGCATCCCAAACACCTGCTAAGTCCTGCTCCATTGGCACAACTTTCAGAAAGGCCTTTCAACCTGGCAAAGAAACTGTTTCCTAGGGGGTGTGCCCAAGTCACAGAGAAGGAAGCATCTACTTGAGTTCTAGGGGGGAAATTACAAATATTTCTGAGGCCCCCTACCCTGGGCTCCACAATCCTTGGGCAGCGAAGGGGGATCAGACCCATGCCAAGCACACTCAAAAACTGGGGAGGCAGCCGGTGGCTCCTAGCTACTTAGGAGGCTGAGATCTGAGGATCGCGGTTCAAAGCCAGCTCAGGCAGGAAAGTCTGTGAGATTCCTATCTCCAATAAACCACCAGAAAACCAGAAGTGGCGCTGTGGCTCAAGAGGTAGAGTGCTCACCTTAAGCTGAAGAGCTGAGGGCTAGAGCCCAAGCCTAGAGTTCAAGACCCACGACCGACAAAAAATAAATAAATAAATAAAATTAAAAAACTGGGGAGGTGGAGAGGCAGGGCAGCCCTCAGCACCAGTGTCTCCTCCAGCAAAAGTCATCTGCCCTTCCTCCCCACAGGACATGACCTTCTCCCAGGCATCCCCACTGTGGCTGATCCCCCGGCATCCCAGAGCCTCTGAAAGCACCTCCCTTGCATCCTAATGCACTGGAACTATCCCCGGGGCCCTTCTCTTCCCTTTCCTGCAGTATCTGTCGGTCTGTCTTCTCCAAAGGAATACAGTGTGGCATGGTTCAAAGGCTTACTAAACCCTTCCAAGGTGGCACAGGTCCTTGGGACTCGAAATTCCTCCTCTGCCACAATTTCCCTGAGCTTCCCAATCTCTCCTACAACCCCTCTTCCTCAAAGGCACCAAAAGAGAGGGCAGGAAAAGGACACAGTTGGAGTGTGGATCTCCTAGGGCTCACCCACCCTCTTAGCCCCGGACCCAACAGGGTTCCTAGCCCACATCTCATTCCTCAAAAAGGCAACACTGCATCCGGGGAGAACCAGACCATCCCTGTCCACTCCTATCCAGACTAAGAGTGAGAGTCAGTCAACATAGCAGCAGAATCACGAACCCCAAGAACCATCCCCACCCTCACTTCTGAAGTCCCTTCTGCCTGGGACCACTTTGGCTGGATGTCCAGCTCCTCCCTATCTAGGCCAGGCCAGAACCTCTCTAAATCTAGCACTCTCGACCCTACTGGATGCAAAGAACCAGGGGCAGGGCCTAGGGTCTCCTGTCCCGAACGGCTCATCCCGGGGGACCCCAGACCAGACAAGTCCCAAGGGCCCAGGCAGGGATCCCACCCCCACGGCAAGACACTGTCCCCGCTGGTCAAGGAGCAGGAAGGGGGGGACAAGGGGCATAGGGAAGAGGAGGGTGCTGGGATCCTAGAAGACAGCTAGGGGAAATCTTTGAAAGAAAATGAAAAGCTGGCGGGGAGAGGGGCTGGCGGTGGAACCAGTGCGAGTGGGCGAGTGTGTGCGGAGGGGCGCCAATCCGGGGGAACCCGGCCGATGACGAGGGGTCTCGGGGAGCCAGGCGGAAACTCCGGGGCCGAGCACGGGAGCCACGGGGGTGCCCGGGAGGGGGCTCGCGCGCCGCGGCCCCGGCGGGAGG